TTTTTTTTTTTTTTTTTTTTTTTTGGAGTAATTTATGTATGCCTCAAAAAATACAATTAATATTAACAATTTAATTTTTTTAAAAAAAGGGAAATTTTATGGTTTCAGCATCTTTCTTAAGATATCCCAATACGTTGTCGTTCGTTTGGTACCGTTAAAATTTTCACAAATTTGCACAAAGCACCCCAAAAGTTTCTTATATTAACCATGGCCCCCTCTTCTTTGCATTAATTACGCTTCTCCCGTGAAGCGAGGCGGTTGAATGGAGTGTTGGAGGAGGTTTTGTTGAGTCCGCTCAACGCCTTTATGGAAAATTCCAATTCGCACCTACTTTTTTATTATATTAGTTTTGTTTCTATTTGCCCATTTTTGTCATTTCACCCTTTATAAGCTTTTTTATTATAATTTTTAAGTATTAATTTAGTCTTATCGAAAGACTCCGAAAAAATCCAACCAATCTAATCCTTTCGGACTATTTTAATGTAGAAGATTATAAGGGTGTTCAAAAAATTGAATTCCCCGAAAAACCCGACCAATCCAACCTAACCCACAATTTGGATTGGTCGGGTTATGAACATCTTTTGGATGGATTGGGTCTAGATGAATGATTTTTTTTTTTATTTGGGCGGGTTCATGAGAATTGCCCTAAAACTAAATTAAACCCACTCGAATTTATTATTAATTTTAAAAAATATTTTTTAATGATTATTTAATATTATAATTATGTTTTATTCAAAAATAATTTTTAACTATTTTAATACTAATTTTTCAAAATATATATATTTAAATTTAATTGTAAATCTTATTTAAATGTTTCAAAATAAATAAGTAGGTAAATGTTTTATATTTAAACAAGATATATTGGTTGTGTTTTCAATATATTTAAATTTACTAATTAACGGCTCGGTTTCGGCTTGAATCGAGTTCTAAGTCCAACCATTCACTTGTTTCATAGGCTCGGATCGCCTATTCAGATTTTAGCTCGAGTTTTTTTTACTGGGTTTACCTCTCAATTTGTTACTAGGGATAATATCGTTTCATTGTATGTTTTTTGTTTCCCAATGAAGCTTTGGGGTTTTATGCAAATCTCATGGTATTCTAACTAACCTTTACTTGGTTTCCGTATTCATGTTTACTATGAACTTTAGGGTTGTATGTAAGATTTGCTCTCGGTCAAGTATGACTTGTGTACTAGACGCTCTAATAGTCTGAAATAGGCTACAATTCGATGGTTAGGAA